ATTCCTTCGATAAAGGATTTCAGGTGAAATAGTGGCGAGAACGCAACGTGAAACTATTCCAAACTGCGATGGGTTTTAATTGTCGCAGTTTTTTTTCCATTCAATAGCCACGTGCTTAGCGCTCTTTTTATATCTTTACTATATACATAAATGTCTATTTTTAAAAACATTTTTCTTTAAAATATGAAGTTTCAAAGATATGATTACGAATCAATTAATGTCACCATACAAATATTGCAAAAACTTCAACCCTCCTGTTATCAACAATTTTTTTCAGATATGCGTCCACTGATATGGACAAAGTGTTGCTCAAGTATACTGAATACAGTGAACCACATGAAAGTCGCACTAATTCCGATATTATGGAGGTAGGCTTGCGTCATTGTATCACGGACTCCTTTTATGGACCTACAAATAAACTCTGAAAGGCTATTTGGGGGTTATGTGCGCTAACTTGGTACGTAGATAAGTGTTTACGATTACCAGTTAACGGTTTATTGCACAAGATATCGGGGGAATGGCATGACCCTTGAGTGCAAATAGTTCCGGAAAATCTTGGAGCGTTTGAGCATTAGGGGTTGAAAGAATTTCTAGAATGCCGATTTGTCTTAAAACTATGTAAGGGTTTCTTCAAGGGTGCATATTGTAGATCAAAGTGTGAAACCCTATTTGATACCTGATAACCGATGATAAACGTCATCTTAAGAAGCTTCCTGTTCACAAGTTTCAATAACGTGAATTCCGTGATAGTCTATAAAAGTTGAAACCTTGCCAGTGCAGGATAAGTTACTCTGAGCAACGAATACGGAATGAAGGAGGGGACCATAGGAAGATATCCGCTATTTCTTGAGATTTCGAGTGACTACTGGAAAATTGCTCTAAGTGCAGGCTTTCTCCAACAAATCAAATAGGTTGACGTTTTGTTTCATCTAGGTAACTTCACTCAAGGTTTGATTACTTCAAAAATCGAATCTTAAAAATAAATGTTTTATTCGATATTGTAGTCATATTAAGCTGCTTTGACATGGGGCTAGCTAGCATAAAGGGAAGGCAGTTGTCAATATTTATGAGTGCACTAATATGGGTGATTTGAAACATGCTGGGTGAGATAAAGCAACATTTTATTTCAAGTGGTGTTTCGAGAGAACTGCGATCTACTCAATCATCTTTCTTAAAGTCATCTTTATTATTTTCTTCTTTTTTCAGGCTCTCCAACGGAAGGAATCAAAGCACGGAGGTGGCGGTGATTCCGACGATGATAGTCCAGGTCCATCTACCCCGCTTAACGGTCATGCTGTACAAAATAATGTCGAACAACCGCCAACGGTAGCACCACAACCACCAGCTGCTGCTATACATCCACTCTATACGAACCTTTTCCTACATCCACAATATCGTCCACGTCCTGAACCAACGAAACATATCGAATTCCCCACAACCAGTTCATTCCCCTACGATTCATCCGGTACTGCTCCATTACAGCCACCACATCCATTAGCTGCTTCTGATGCCGATTGTGAAC